TCAAAGTTCCAAGCACATAGTTTGACAGAAGCATTCTACAACTATTAAAGCTCAAGTGTCATTGTGTGTGAATAGAGTTCACAATAGACAGGGAGAAAAACAGGGGGATGATGTTCAACAGATCCCTGGCTGGATTTGAACCATTGTCTTACATTTGAGTGTTGGTGCCCTAGACTACCTGTCAGGGTACAAAATCAACTTTTTGGTCCATCTGCCAATGGCTGGTAAACAGAAAAAAATGTATGTGAAGATTCTCAGTCATCCAGGTCATAGTTATCCAACGAAGGTTAAAGTCAAGGGCAATTGGACTTGGTTGAAGATACTGGAAGACGTTTCATCCCTCTTCCAAAAGAAAAGGGAAACTCAGCTATTTAACCTCAATGGGGTCATTTGCCAGGATCGTCGATACTGCTGGTTCGTTAGTGTTCCTGGCTTCCATAACGACAGATAAATAATAAATCTATATTAGGGGCAAATGCATGTGAAATACTCCGTTTAGCGACGCATACTGAACCCCTTGCACTGCTTTTCTTCTTCTTGTTTTATTGGTGGTGCCGTTGACTTCCCTTCACTGTGCTGGGCCCGTTTCAGAAAGAGTATGTTCAGCCCGAGATGAGGGAAACTCTGGGTTTTCGGTTTCAGAGGCCGAGATCAGATAAACTCTAGACCAGTAACCCTGGCAAGTTATGCTGTGAACCTAACCACCTTGGTGGGGGGTGGGGGGTGGGGGGGGTTCATCATGGATTTATCCTCAGCACAGAATAAAATCTATAAACTACACTGTCCTTCTTGATAACCCAGTGACTCTGTGGACATTAAGGCAGCTGTCGGGTTGGCAACAGTTTCACAGAGACACTTAGGTGCAATTTATACTTCTGCGTCAATCGACGGTGTAGGTGACGGCATAGGCTACGGGGCTATGAAACTGATCAGCAAACTCAACACTCTGCAACTGGATATTGGACTTCCTCACAAACAGACCTCAGACAGTTTGGATTGGTGGACTCACCTCTAGGGCTGAACGATGTTGCAATTGCGATTTAATATGCGATTTAAATAAGCTCTTTACCTTCTGTAATATTCAATTCAATTTTATTTATATAGCGCCAAATCACAACAACAGTTATCTCACAGCGCTTTTATATATATATATTGGGATGAGGTTGCATACAGAGGGAGAGAAAGTAGAGGAGAGAGGAGCTCAGTGCGTCATGGGAAATCCCCCGGCAGTCTAGGCCTATATAATACTCAACAGACAAGCAGTAAATCAGTGTATAGTATGACCAACACAGTATTAGATTAAACTTCAATTCAATTAAATTTTATTTATATAGCACCAAATCACAACAACAGTTATCTCACAGCGCTTTTCATAAAAGAGCAGGTCTAGACCGTACTCTATGATGTTATTTACAAAAGCCCAACAATTCCCACCAAGAGCAAGCACTGGGCGACAGAGGCAAGGAACTTCCTTTTAAGAGGAAGCCACAGATCCAGACTCCACTGCTCCAGAGCCAGAAACACCTGCAGGAAGTGATAGGAGGAGAGAGGAGAGAGACGAGAAAGCACAAGACTACCGGAAAGGGGAGAAGTTGTGTTAGTAACATGCAATAATGGGATGAGGTTGCATACAGAGGGAGAGAAAGTAGAGGAGAGAGGAGCTCAGTGCATCATAGGAAATCCCCCGGCAGTCTAGGCCTATAGCAGCATAACTAAGGGATGGTTCAGGGGGTTCTGAACTCTTGTCTCATACTCATCTTTTAATCTTAAACCCAAATGTCTTCAGTGAACAACAAAAACAAAAGAATTTGCCTTACCATTCCAATACTTTTGTAGGGGACTGTATATCATCAGGTTGGCCTGCCTACAGACCACAAGAAAAACTAACTCACCACAGTGTGTTATACAGCAAGCGCTCAGTACAAAACCCACAGTTCATCCACCAATTAATGAGTCCTTATCTCTGTTCAAATCTCCTAGGAGTCCATCTTTGGCCAACGAAAATAAAACCAAGTGTCGCCTCTCGTGTTTAATAGACAAACTTAGTTAAAACTTAATTCTCCGACAACACCGGTGTTCCCCCGCAGCCTACGATGCTGGTGAGCAGCGCACTGGCTGTAACGAGGTTGTAACTCGGGACAGACTGGGTCTCTTTTGGACTTGTGAGTTTGGTTTGAAACGCCGTTTCACAGATATTTCATGAGATAACCGGTGGCTTTGTGTGTGACCCAGGCACCGATTGCCACAATATGCTTACCTTACTACACGTGTCTTTCTGTTGTGTATTTTTCCTGTCCGTCACAGCGACGATTTCACCCACCACCACGTTACCCGCGGGTAGCGGCTGCTACTTTCATTCCCTGTGTGACACTAAAGTTTATGTAGTGTCAGCTTCTGTCAAGCTTAAGGCCATTTTACAACAAGAAGGCAAGGTACAGTGTAACATGCAGACGAAGCATCAAGTTCGTCTGCAGACTGCTTTCCTCTTGGGTGTCATGTGACCAGAGTGTAATTGCAGCCTTTGCGATTAGAAAATCTCGTTTTATCACATCGCGATAATATAGCAAATGCAATTAATCGTTCAGCCCCACTCACCTTCTCCACCCTAGTGCTCAACAGGGCTGTTTGCTCAGCCCTCTCCTGTTCACGCTTTACACCCATGACTGCATCTCTGACATGGAGAGAACTCTATTGTGAAGTTTGCGGACGACACCATCATCGGCCGGATCTCAAACAATGCTCAGAGAACAACCTGCTGCTCAACATCAGCAAAACCAAGGAGCTGATCATTGATTTTAGGAAGAAGGAGATAAAGACACCCACTCCTGTCTTCATCAGTGGAGCTGAGGTGGAGCAGGTGAACAGTTTCAGGTTCCTGGGAATCAGCATCACAGAGAAGCTGACATGGTCATCTCACATCTCCACGCTGGTGAAGAAAGCTCAGAAACGACTGCATTTCTTGAGGAAGCTCAGTTCCCAGTTCTTGTCAGCTTTTACAGAGGAGCAATAGAAAGCATCCTGACTGGAAACATCACTAACTGACTAACGGACTGGAGGGCTCTGCAGCGGGGGATTAAAACTGCTCAGAAGATCATTGGTACCCATCTCATCATCAGTGATATCGGAGGTGAGGTGCCTAAGCAGAGCCCAAAGGAAGGACAGTACCCACCTAGCCACAGCCTGTTCACCCTGCTGCCTTCTGGGAAGAGAAGTTTAACCGCCGCACCACCAGAGCGCAGATCAGCGTTTTCCCCCAAGCTATCAGACTCTTAAACTCTAATTCATCCTCAGCACTTCTCCACTGAATATAGTTTATTTCCATTAACCTTTTTTATTATTGATTCTTTATTAATGTACATTGTCTGCTATGTAGCAGAAGGTAGTTACACAATTTCATTCTATAACTTGTTATATTGTGACAAATACATGTACCTACCTATTTACTTTGTTTTGTTGTAGTCTATTTGGACTAAACACTCAGGAATGATCACCCTCATGTGACTGAATTGAAATGGCGATAAACAATGTAATAAGTGTTTCTTGCAGACAGTCTCTCCGTCTCTCTCTGACTTTTAATTGTCTCCATAATAAAAGTTAATCAGAATCAGAAATACTTTGATTCCCGAGGGGAAATTCTTTTGTCACAGTTGCACACATTGCACATCAAGGCATAAGGAAAAGAAATAATAATAGAAAGTAGATAGGTAAAGAAATATATAGATATATATTTCTCAAAACCTGAAAATCAATAGGTGAGGGATTCCCCAGAAGGTTAACATAAACATTAGTCGAGCGGCGGCAGGGACCTTGCGGTTTTTAATGGTAGAAATGCGGCAGCGATTGCTGTAATGTTGTATGGATCAGATATGCCCAACACTTGCAGTTTGTGTTCATATCTTTCTTTTCCTTAAGTTGAAAGATGATCCAAATAAAATTTGACTGCTTTTGCGGAGTCTCTACTGGGCAGTCACGGTGTGAGCCGCTATGTTGTATGTATGTTTTGCCCTCCATGTCCCCGTGCACGTCACGTGACTGAAAACTATGATGAATGTACCATTATGTCTCGAGCGTCAAATCTGGTTTAACTTGAAACATGATGGATAAGAATACAAATGTTTTTATTGATGGCACTGAGATGCGGTATCAAACATCTTTCTAAACATCACTCAGCATTGTGAATTCAGATATTGAGTTTATTTGCTGTTGTAAACATTAATGTTGCTGCTCTAGAAACATTTAGCTGTATTTAAAATATTAAAGATTGATGGCCACAGGCAGAAATGACTTCCTGTGGTGCATTTTGGGGGAATAAGTCTCGTACTGAAAATGCTCCTGTGTTTGAGCAGCACATCAGAGACATTGTCCTATAATGAACACAGATTTTAAGTAGGTGGTGAATAATAAAACAAATCAAATATGAAACTTGTTGGTGATACACTTTTAATCGGTTGTCTGTCTTATCTCATATGAAACTGCAGTGATCCTGTGATATATCAGATCAGTCCGATCTGCTCTAGCATCCAATTTCCTATTCCAACGACTGTACTATAAGGGGGCGTGTTGGTCAGTAAAAGACTTCCACGAGGATGCACTTGTGTATCCTCGCTCATAGCCCCTCAGAGATCACTCCTCGGAGCACAAATAAGGGTGTTTAGATGGTCTGCAAGATGGCAGAGCAGATCAACTTCTGGTTCAAACAAGGAGCGACGAGCAAGGAATTGAGAAGCACCCATAGACATGATGCTGACATTGAACTTGTCATTTACATATACACACATACATATATAGAGTGTGTATATATAGAGTAAATGTTGAAATATTCCTTTAAAAGCTACTTTGTGGTAGAAACATGGTAATCATTGTGTCACAGCATGTCATAGATGCCTACTGCCATTTTGGCAAACATACATGCTCCATACCCATATGTCAGTGTTTTTAACTTAGCTTTTGAATATTTAGACATGCAGCCCTGTTCTAAAATTGTAGCCTTTACTCCACAG